TGTATCTTGAAGTTTTATGGCTACTCCATAGTTTTGAATGAAAGTTGCAGGAATTGTTAGTGCTTAGTTTCTGGAATATGCAGCATTCAAAATGTTCTCAAAATCAAGTTTTTGCTAAACTAGAAGCTGGGCTGAATCCCAATCAGTTTTCAAAATAAATTATTTCTTTCATACTAAACAGTTGGTACAATAAGGTAAATGAAATTACATTCTTGTGTACTTCCAATCTTCTGGAAATGACTTTTTAATTATCTTGCTAATTACATAGTGTAATTGCATTGCACAAAGATACATGCTGGAAGTTGAAAAGCTCTTGAGTGATTAAAATTGCCAAGGACAAATTAAATTTCTTCCTTTTTTTAGAATCCTTAATATCCATTTATATTTACTATTCATACGAAACTTAAACATTTATTTAATTCTGATAAAAAAACTTCAACACAAACCCCAAAATCCCAAGAGTTTGATCTTCTGCTATTGAGCTAATTTCAAACCATTGTTTAAAATTCCTAAATACATAGCTGTGCGATAAGAGCTTGTGACATAGGTAGCTGAACATTGCACTGTTTTTGTCTGAGAAATCCTACATTGATGTAGAAGATAATTCTGTGTAATGGTGCATGGATTGTCATTGCCATGTATGAGAGTCTACAATGGAAGGAGAGTCCACCAGCTTTCAAGGGAGTCCGTTCCACTGTTGAACAGCTCTTGCTGTTAGAAAGTTTTTCTAAGAATTCCTCAGAATCTCCTTTCTTGTAACTTGAACTTCGGGTCCTTCTCTTCTCCAGCATGAGAAAACAAGCTTGCTCTGCTTTCCATGTGACAGCCCAAAGATACTTGGAGATGGTTATCATAATCTCCTCTCGGTCTTCTCTTTTCCAGGCTAAACTGCTGGGATAGTTCAGTAGAGCATGAGACTCTTAAATCTCAGGGTCACAGGTTCACGCCCCACATTGGGCAAAAGATTTCTGCATCGCAGGGGGTTGGACTAGATGGCTTTGTGGTCATTTCCAACTCTACAGTTTTATGATTCTTGAAAACATGCCCAACTGACCACTCAGTAGTTCCTTGAATCTTCTTCTTTTGCCCTTTCTGAAGATGGGGATTACATTTGTCCATCTGCAGGGACCTCACCTGTTCTCAAAGAATTCTCAAAGATTATAGACGAAGGCTCTGAGATTACATTCACAAGCTCCTTTAGTACCCTTGGGTGTAGCTCATTGGGCCCTGGAGATTTGAATTCATTTAAAGTAACTAGGTGTTCCCTTACAACCTCTTTTCCTATTTGGGGCTGCAGTTTCCTTCTGGCATCATTCGTTCTGCTATTGCCAGGTTGGGCACCGCAGAGAACCTACTACAGTGGTACCTTGGGTTACAAACATTTCAGGTTACAGACTCCGCTAACCCGGAAGTAGTACCTCAGGTTAAGAACTTTGCTTCAGGATGAGAACAGAAATTGTCTGGCAGCAGGAGGCCCCATTAGCTAAAGTGGTGCCTCAGGTTAAGAACAGTTTCAGGTTAAGAACGGACCTCCGGAACGAATTAAGTTCTTAACCAGAGGTACCACTGTACTTGCATGTTCCTCCTCTTGCTTCGAACACAGCCGAAGAAACCTTTATAATTATTTTTAACCTTTTCCCCCAAGCCTGAGCTTCTTTCTGAGCTTTGCCCCACCTCGGACATTCCCTCTGCAACTGTTGGCTACATGTGTATAATCTTCTTTGGTGATTTCCCTTTCTTTCATTTCTTAATACATGCCCTCCTTCAATCTCACCTCATCTGTAAGCTCCTTATGCAGCCCACTGGTTTCTTTAGACGCCTCCCACTTTTCTTTCTTGTTGGAATTGCCTGCATTTGTGCCTTCATTATTTCCCCTTTAAGAAATACATAGGGCAGGGAAATACTATTAGGCAGGGGAAAGTGGGAAACAGATTCACATCAGGTACCTAATGGAGAGCAAGGGCTGAGGATAGTGTTGTCCGTGTTGACTTCTTAGGCGTGGGTTTGTGCTTTACAAAAGCAGTAGCAAGCACATACTGGGTAGGGGATAACTCAAACAGTAATTAAAATGAAGTTTCCTGTTACAGCTGTAGATTTCTAACCTGGGGCCAATATGTTTTTTTTAAGTTAAAAACCATAAATATGTAGGTTATTTGTACATGTGGGCCTCTTCACATGTAGATTTCGAAGGGACTGTGGGGGTCGTCTAGTCTGACCCCATGCAGGAATTTCTTGCCCAACATGGGGCTCAAACCCACAACCCTGTGATTAAGAGTCTTATGCTCAACTGACTGAGCTATCCCTTGGTGCACATATATTGGCTAAAATGAAGTTGCTGTCCCACCATCATTTAATAACAATTATGTTCCTTATAACCCTGCCCCCTCCAAATCTGACTGATACTAAATCACTGTACTTGCTTGGGAAGGGAGATCTACATTTTGTGTGGTGAAAGTGAATCGGAATATTTAAAGCTTATTACCAGCCTCAATATGAACCAGCAGATGTGTGAGCTAGCGCATATTTACTACTCTTTAAAAAAACCAGTTAATACTGTGACTTAGTACACATTTGAAAACTATTCTAGCGGTCGGTGCTTATCAGGTTACAAAGATCTAGAATGGGATTTTTGTGAAGTTGAGGTGGAGGGAGCTAATCTCAACAGAATGGGCATTGAGGCATCTACCGTTAACTTCAAGCAGCTATCCCAATACATTATTCCCTTGCTCTAGAGCAGTGTTTCCCAACCTTGGGCCTCCAGCTGTTTTTGGACTACAACTCCCATCATCCCTAGCTAGCAAGACCAGTGGTCAGGGATGATGGGAATTGTAGTTCAAAAACAGCTGGAGGCCCAAGGTTGGGAAACACTGCTCTAGAGCACCAGTCTTTTTTTTTTTGGTGCTATAATCACATAATTCCTACTTGATTCAGAGTTAGAAACAGTTAATTGCAACACGTTTTGTTCCTGCTTAACGCACAGCAGATTCCTTAGGGGAAAACAAAGCAAGCTGGCAATAAAACTGTAACGTATATGATATAGATGGATTAGGCAACAGCTTGTACTCGTTCACAAGAATGAATTTTCCTTGGACATCTGTGGCGGGCTGTCTGAAACAGGCTCTGGGCTTGACTCTGGGCTCAGAAGGCGGTCCATTTTCTCGTCCATTTGGGGAAGCGCTTGCCTAGCGGTTCCATCTTCTACTTTCCGGTTCAGTTGGATGACTGTGACCTTTGACTGGCAGGTGGTTTCTCCGTCAGCCGCTGAAGCAGGTTGGCAGTGGAAAAGCATCAGAAAGCATTTGTAGAACTGGAAAACAAAAAAAACCCAACCAGTTTCATTTTGCTAAACTGCAATTTTCAGGTTATGAATTAGGCTAAAGATTCGTGCATTTAAAAAGTTAAGTGAAGATTCAGATTCTGCTGTTTACATTGCAATCCACCCTTTCCCAAACCTTTTCACTTTGGAGCCTTTGAAGAACGTGCTGCATCAGCTCCAGTGCCTCACAGCTAGTTCCTCCCTCAGTTTGAGGGCCAGAGCACGATGGCCCTCAAATTGGTCCTGGGCGATGTACTTTATTGGCTCAAATATAAGCCGCTCCTGAATATAAGCCACACATTTAAAAGTCATGGGGGAGGGGGAGAAAAAAGACAATAACCGAATATGCCACTCCCTTCCTCGCTTTCTCCCTTCCTGGCCTTGGGGGAGAGGATGGGGGGCTATGTGTGGGGCAGGTGCCACTGCGCGGCGCTCCTGCCGCTGTTTACCCCGCGCTCCTGGCTGCATACTGGATTATTTTTGTAAGGTCATGAATATAAGCTGCACTTTAACTTTTCACAGTCTGAATTTGGAAAAAGGTGCGGCTTATATTCGAGCCAATACGGTATATCGATATAATGCTGACCCCAATGGGCAGAATGGAGCCTCCTTGACTTCAATAGGAAAGAAGGCCAAGTTAAACATAATAGAACCAGACACGATAGCATTGGTTAGCATTTTGTCACGTTGGCTCTAACCTGCAAATCACCCTCTAAGAGCTGCTCCTCATCTTGGGCAAATTGGCCCTGCAGCAGACAGGATGTCATACAAGTCACTGACTGGCTTGGTTGTCGTTCCTCACGGTGTGCAATGCCAGAGGAGCACGGTGGTGTTGCAGGCAAGAGAGGCAGGTCCTGAACCTCAGGAAAAGTCACGGCTGCTGCTTTCCGCTTCTTTAGCTTGGAGCCCCCCTCACATGTGGGTCTTAAGAAAAGACTGGGGGTTAAAGGCCATAGGGGGGGGCTTATCTGGCTCCCTGGAGGACTTGTGAAGTTTAGCAGAAACTGGTGGGTGGTGGGACTGGGAGCTCAGGGCTTGCCCAACCAAAGAGTAAGTAGGGCCGGCCGGGAACATCTTTGTCCATTGAGGCGGAAGCCCTTAAGAAAGGCTATCAAAACACGTGGCACAGTAGCACCCAAATGTATTCCCCAATTCACAAGCTGAGATTCCTGCTTGATGACTCTCGAGGCTCCTTCCAACTCTGCAACAGGAGGGAGGGAAAGCAGTAGCAAATTAAAGGGGGAGAAAACAAGGGAAAGAGGCAGCTTGAAAGGAGGAACAACAGCGTTCTCTACCCCTTCACCATTTTTTTTTAAACAGAAGGAGAAGAGAAAAAGGAAGGCTGAAAGTAATTCACAGGGGCAGCAGAAAAACTCACAAGAACAGAGGAGCTATGAGAAAGGGAAGAGGAATTTGGCTGAGGTCAATGGCAATGGATCAACTCCTGTTTTCTTGATACTAGTGGTGCATTTCCTGTTCCTGGTCACCAGGTGGCAGCCAGAACCCACTCAACAGCCCTTTGTCCAAAGAAAATATATTGATTCAGCACCACCGCATGCTAGAGATGATCAGCAATTTAGCAAACAGAACTTGATTTTTGCATGTGCAGTAATTAAAAAGGAACCTAAGTTTGGAAACTTATTCTGGCCTTTTAAAATACCATAAACGTTTTCTCTGTTTTCAGGGATTCTCATCATGATGTCCATGTGCAGCGAAGTCCATGTATACGAATACATTCCTTCAGTCCGGCAGACCGATCTCTGCCACTACCATGAACTCTACTATGATGCGGCTTGTACCTTGGGGGCTTACCACCCGCTGCTTTATGAGAAACTGCTGGTGCAGAGGATGAACAGAGGCTTCCAGGAAGATCTGTACCGGAAAGGAAAAGTGATTTTGCCAGGGTTCAGGTCAGTGAAATGCCCTGGATGGAAGTGATCCCCATACAACACTAAGAAAGGATATTTCTAGAACAAAGTGCAATAAGGTGCTGCTGTCGTACTAATAAACAACCAAGAAATACTTGAAATAACCCGGATCCTAGACCAATCTAGTCTATAAACTGTAATTAAGTAGCAGGCTTAGGGGAAGTCCTTGCTTCTGAGGCCTGAGTATTTATTATTGCTTTGAAAATAGGTTTTGGGGTTTGTTTTGGTGTTTTTTTTTTTTTAAAGACTTGCTTTTTGAGAGATGCAAACTATGGTGAAGGTAAAATACTGTGAGGATATATGCCAGAAATCATCAAGCAGTTATACCACATGTGCCCGATTGCAGTCCTTTAGACAAGGCAGATTAAACACGAAGCCTAACCTAGTGAAGCAGTCCTTACAATTAAATAAGAGCAAACTTCGGCTATATTTTTCACAGCATCTTTTAAGATTTTCCTCTCTTCCCTCTTATAAAAAGTGCCAGATGTTTACTGAATACAATGAGCCATGTTTTCGTTTTATTTAAACTGTTCTGGTGGCTGAGCTTGGAACCCTAACCTTAAAACACTTGTGCTGGACTCTTTTAATATGTGTTAAGACATATTTGGTCAAATACATAAATTGGTAGCATGCACAGGAAAGGTTGAGTAGAAGACCACCACCTGGCTGTTTCAAGCATATTGAAATTTGTTTCCGTGCCAACGTGCTGGCACCAGTGTCCATATTAGAACAAAGATATTTTCTGACCTTTTATGTGGGACTGAATTGCCACACATTCATGTACGCAGGCCTGTAGGCTGATTCTCACTCATCATGCCATGACAACTCTCTCCAAACACCCTCATGTCAGCTACTGTAGTCAGGGTGAAAAGTCTTACCTGCAGATGAGCCATCAAGGGAGTAGGTTGTTGTGTGACAATCACAACCCACAAGCAAACAACACAGCTTATCTTTAGAAAGCAGTTGCTTTCTAATGCTTTGTTTCCTCTACCACCTGTGTGGATGTGTCAGGATGCTGTCAGTGGCTCCCGGCAGCGGTTGCCCAGGAAAGTATAAAGACAAGGGAAAATGTCTTACAGTCCTTTTTTATTCCAAACTTTACAGAGAGAGGCTATAGAACCCAGCCTCTTGGATAATGGTGTTGTCCCAAGTGAATCTTCACACACCCCAATCTCTTCCTCATTCATCATTATCATCATCTCTACAGGTGTTGCTAAGTGCCCTCTGTCTTTGAGCTCTTTGCTCTCCTACTTTTAAGGCTCGCTGGGTTCTGGGAGATGGTGGGTCTGGAATGCTTTCTAGTGACATGTCATCCAGGTCTCCCATTATTTCTCAGCTTTTCCCCTCATCTGCCTCTGAGCTGTGACCTCCCACAAACCCCCCGTTGAAAATCTATACTATCTTCCTCTTCCTCCTCCCTGGAAGGTTCAGGATGGGGAGGCGGTCTCCACCATTCTTCCTCCTCTGCCCAGTCCCTGACAGGATGTTAGACTAGAGATCTTCAGCAGCCTTTTCCATTTTCGTTTTCTTTCGCTGCCCCAGAGCCCAGTTGCAGCGCTATTCAGGGAAAAGTGTCAGGAAGAAAGGCTGGGGCAGAGGGCAGCAGGGCTTGTAGTCTTCTGAATGTTCACTACCACGGCAGTATTTATTGGCAAGCTAAGTCAGGGGGAAGCGAGTGAACAGAAGAGAGGAGCTTTGGGGTTGCCAGAAAGTAGTAAGAAGAGAAGAGGGAATTCACCAGGTTGCCTTGTGAGCCAAGGATGCAGTGCGGCAGTGAGATGCCAAACCCTGTAGGTTCTTGCTATAAGAGCAGAGAGTCAAAATTCTGGCCCAGAAATATTCAAGCAATGCTTCTGCATTTGCAACGTTCCCTATCACCCCCACCCCCAAGTTTCTAGCAGTAGGAAGCAAGATCCTGATTCTGCTTCTAGGTCTTAAGAATGTAAAGACAATTTAGCTGGATCAAGCTTGAAGGCCTATCTCATCTCGCCCTCTGGTTCCAGCAGTGGTCAATTAGATGCCTCTGCGGAGGTTTGCAAGAAAGGCATAAAGGCAGTGGGCTTCCTCTGTTGCTTGTCCCCAGCCTCTTGACATTGACAATATCTCCAAACACAGAGCATTCATTGGGCTGCTGTGTCAACCTGCCTGTGTGTCACTTATCTGCCTGTCTAATCTTGTTTCTGAAGGTGGTGTTCATCTTCCACATCTTATTCCCCCCCCCCAATTAAAAAAAAAGTGATGAGTTCCATAATTTAATTAAAAGGAGGTTGGATCAGGTCGCTCCCTTCAGGCCTACATAAGACTCCTGTCAAATGCAAACTCTCTCTTGCAAAAGACTGCTGAGCACCAACAGAGATGTTCTATAATCTTTCACCTTGTTGTCGTGCAAGGATAGCCCTCCAGGTGTTGGGAGTGCAGCTTCCTTCCTTCCTTCCTGTTGGCCATGTTGGGTGGGGCTGATGGGAGCTACTGTCCAACAACATCTAGAGATACACATGTTCCCCATCCCTGTTGTGTTTGCTCAATCAGAAGTATCCCAGTAAAGGAAAATATAGTGCACATATCTCATTGCTTAGGCTCTTAAAAAAAATTTTACGCAGCTGGGTTGAGAGAGAAGAGAGTTTGCATCCGTGCTTGTATGCATATGTTTCTGCTGTATTCTTAACAATAACCACCTGCCTGAGGCATAATTCAATTTAAACAAACAATTGTGTTGGGTTCAGCATAATTTAACCATGGCTTAGCTTAACATCCTATTTGTTTCAGTGGAAGCTAATCTCATTATTGCTAACACAGCAACACACACCAAATACTGGATCATATGAGTCAATTCCTAGGGACCGAGGTCCCTTCGCCACACCCCATAAAATATCAGAGGGGGCTGGGCCCCACCCAAAGTTGATGGGCATTGCCATTCATATGATGTGTGTGTGCCATGTCATGTGATCCATTATGTGGGGTGGGGCTTGCCTAGGGGCCCCAGTATTATATTCAAGTTGGCACCCCTATGCTGGATACTTTTCTGAATAGTGCCATTTTAATCAAGTTTTATCTAAGGGTTCAACTGCTTGCACATTCCTTCAAGAACCTTAAATTAGTGGTGGCCATGTGGTATCTTCTTAGATGTAACTTAGAAGCACTGCTTGTCTCCAAACTGAGGTCTAGTACAAACCCAGGGATGCCACCACAGATCCTGAGTCAACCTTCCAACAAAGTCTGGTTTTCCCTCTCGCCATTTAAGTTCTCCTAACTCAACCACCTTCGCAATCGAAACTGTAGTTGTTTATTCCACTGACTTCAGCAGGGTTCGAATTGGAAACTTTAAAAATACTATTATCGGTTCATCTTCTGATAAGTGTTTGCTTTGCAAAATTCCACAGATGAAGAATAATGCATTTTACTTCAATGTTGAAGGGAGATGAGAGGGGAAGAGGGAGAAAAACAGGAGGGGAACTTCCGATTTTGTTTTTTAAAAGTTGCAAGTGAAAGAAGGAAAGCATTAGGAAGTGATAGCTGATTGAAAGTTCAGACTGTTCAGTTTAAGACAGTAAATGAATGTGTATTAGATGTTAAATAGAATTTTGTATGTTTTTAGGCCACCTTATTATATATATATAGATATATATATAACAGTGCATTTTTAATCTATATCAGAATTATAAATGTTCAGTAAATGTCTGCAACTCCTACTTGAAGTCAAGTGAGAAATCTCACTTTAAAAAAGTATGAAGTATGTTTAAGCCTTTGCTGCTTCTTCTTTTTACCAGTTTAAAAAACAAAAAGCAAGGGTTGCTGGGAGAAGTTAGTTTTGATTGGCATAAATATGTTGAAAGCGTCACACTTTCTCTGCACTGATGGCTGTACAGTTGAAAAGTTGCACTCAACACCTTGGGTAAAGCATACTTGTTTTCTGTTCTTATTATCTGTCATGATCTACACTTTCCACTGTGAATTTTTTAACGTGGTGCTCTCTTAATTTTTTATGCATAACGCCTTCAGAGGGTCACTTTGAGGTGTTCTCATGTTTGTTACAGGGAAATTGATCTATGAACTGTTGAGCCAATCTTTGTTTTGCTAGCAAAAACAAAACTTTCATCTCTTGTTATTTTTTCCATTGTCATGTGTGACTTGGAGGCATGGCCAGGTACTTGCTTCACCTTCTCAGTTTTTCCCCTCCGCTTGCTACCAGAGTTACTCATGTTGAGTTCAAAAGCACTGAATGTGGCACTGGGCACAAAATCCAGCTTCCACCGACCTTTTATCAATTTTTTTTTTAAAAAAAGAGGTGCTTTATAGCCTGTGTGGCTGGCAAAAATATCCCACCAGTGTTGAGTATTGCCTCCTCCAAACTCAGAGAAGTCAGAGGCAGTGCTTAAAAATATATATTATAGGAGCCTAGGGCAAGGCTTCAAGTACCCAGTTTTCTTCCTTGCAGAATCAGATTAAAAATATGGAAATTAAGAAAATCATGCACCCTTGTTTAATTAGCTGACACACAAATCACAGTATCCAGCTTTTCTCTGCACAGAATCCAGATTGTTTTGCAGGCCAATTTTCCCCCTGCACATATTCTTTTGCTCAAAGGTAAGTTCCACTGTGTTCAAATGGATCTTGCTCCCTACAGGTGCATATAAGACTGCAACCCTCACATGGCACCTGGGAATTAAGCCCCATTAAACTCAGCGAGGCTTACTTTCAAGTAGATATAGGATAGTTCTGTCAATTAGCCTTGTGGCAATCGCATGGCTAGTTGGGATGTGGGAAGTGCCTAGTTTCCACTGAATTGCGTAAATAGCAATCCTAACCCCACTTATCTTGGAGTAAGCCCTATTGAATTCACTAGGACTTACTTCTGAGTAGGCTTGGTTAGGGTATGGCCACAACAGCTCTGCCCACCCCCCACGCCAGACAAAATACTTAAATTGTGACACCCTATTGCTGTCGAGTAGGCCCTGTGGCGGTGTGAGCTCTCATCCCTAAATCAGAGGAAACATTTATGGGTGTTACGCTCATCATGCAAAAATATTTGAAGGTGTTAGTAATGAAAGCTGCAAAATGCTCCACACTTGTTAAAAATCACCCTTTCTAAAGTGGATCATTAAATATAAATGGAGGTTTTTGAAAATATTGCGCTAAATAATTCTTAGTACTTGAAAAAAAAGTCTAGCTAGGAGTTGTTCTTTTGATTTTGTACAACAAGACTTTTCTATCCCTAAATTGAACTCTGACTTCATTAATTTCAGAGTGCCTTGTCTTGGACAGATTGCGATGCATAATTTTCTTAACAAGTTCCCCTTCTTTCTTTCTTTCTTTCTTTCTTTCTTTCTCTCACACAAACCATACTAGGGTAGTTTTACATGTGCTGAAATTGAAGACAGACAAGGTTATGACTGGGCTTTCCACATTTTCTTCTTAAATTTTTTGAATGTTCAGCTGCTTACATGGCATGCAAAATTGGAGTAAAGATCAAGTGCACCTATGGAAGGAAGGATGGAATATAAAAATAAATGATGATTGTATTTATTTATTTATTTTTAAAAAGTAACCAACCTCTTTCCCTCCCTTCCTTATACTTTGCAATTTGAAGATAAAATACTGAAAATGGCGTGAAATTACAGGCACATTTCAACAAATTTTAAAATCTCATATAGAGACATTTGCCTCCATAAAACTGCAGCTTTCTGTGCAAAGAGAACATCTGGATTAACTGTTTATATAAGTACCTCATGTCTATTGAAGGTTTATTTAAATAACCACCCTGAGAGCTTTTTGATGAAAGGTGGTGTATGAACTGAGTAAATTAAATAAAAATAAAATGCATTTTTATATCACAGGTTTCCACTCTGTAACATGGCAACATAATTCGAACCTCTGTTGTTACATGGCCAGCTGTGTACATGCCTTATATTCACACATATCATCTCATTTTCTAAAGCTGTAGTCGCCGAGCTACTCAAATAGAAGACTGTGTACTTTTTAAATAGCCTTGAGAATTATTTTGTATGATAATTTTTTAAGTGAATGTGCACTCTTCAAGAAACGAAAGCTTGAGATTTTCCAGGAGTCGCATTTTTAAAAACAGTGTTTGTATACATTTTAACACTTTTGTATTTTCTATTTTGGTTTTATATATTTTTATGTATGCACAGTGTACAGATTTTTCTTGTAAATAAAGTTTGTTTGTTTTTTTATTTGATCGGATGCATCAGTCTCTCATTATTTAACATGAGGGGATTAAAATGTGTATGTTACAAAACAAATGATGCCATTAAGGAACTAACTGCACATGTAGGTAAAGGTCCAGTCGTGACCGACTCTGGGGTTGCGGCGCTCATCTCGCTTTATTGGCCGAGGGAGCCGGCGTTTGTCCGCAGACAGCTTCTGGGTCATGTGGCTAGCATGACTAAGCCGCTTCTGGCGAACCAGAGCAGCGCACGGAAACTCTGTTTACCTTCCCGCTGGAGTGGTACCTATTTATCTACTTGGACTTTGTGCTTTCGAACTGCTGGTTGGCAGGAGCAGGGACCGAGCAACTGGAGCTCACCCCGTCGTGGGGATTCGAACCGCCAACCTTCTGATTGGCAAGTCCTAGGCTCTGTGGTTTAACCCACAGCACCACCCGCGTCCCCTTAACTACACATGTAGCACCTGGTATATAAAGTATATAAAGGCAGTGTGGTGTAATGCTTACAGTGTTGGACTAGGACCTGGGAGACCAGGGTTCAAATCCCCATGAAACTCACTGGGTGACCTTTGCCCAGTTATTGCTTCTTAGCCTATCCTACCTCACAGGGTTGTCGTGGGGATTAAATGAGGGGGGGAACCATGTACGCCACCTTGAGCTCCTTGGAGAACAAGGTGGGATATTAAGTACAATAAATACATATACATTCTGAAAATAAGCTTAGTCTCCAAGCTACTTTTGATGAATAGCCTTGTGAGAAGTGACCTATCCCTGAGACCTAATTTGATTCCCTCCTGCCACAAGTTACAGAACGGGGGGGGGAAGACAAGTGTGAGCAAAAAGATCTGTAACTGCTAAGGCATACTGAATTTTTAAAAACTACTAATGCACAGACCTCGCAAGGGAAGCTCTGTGTTTAAGAAGGCTTCCACAAGCTAGCCTTAAAGGTTTCCTAAGACTGTTGGCATCACAAGACTTTACAGCTACCTGGTGTGCTCAAAAGGCATGGATAAAGTGTACCAGATCTTGTGCTCCTCAAAAACAACTTTCTGGAGTAGAAGTAGAGACCTAAATGATCTAGGCTTATTGGATGAGCATCATCTCACTCACTCTGCCTTCACAGCTCTTAACATCTTATAATCTCTACTTCCATGGCCTTAAATAATACATGGACATGATCATTCCGCCAAGCTATTCAGAATGGATAACACACACATGCTTAAAATTACAAGGAAAGCCATTCCCCACCCCCCAATAATTTTTATATGGTCTTTAAAAAGATAAAGGCCATAGCTTCTACTTTTCATGTTGCGCTAAATGTAAATGTCTACATTTTATTTCTGAGTACATGCAACTGACTGGTTGTTCTACAGTACTCTTTGCAGTAGGAGCTGTAGTACAAAGGTTAATTTGAAGGGGCACAAGCTTTTTAAATGCCAGTCGTACAACCTGTAGCCCCAGTAACTTTTTCTGAGATCTGAATGGCTCTGCAAAAGGTCTTCAATCCATTCGTTTGTCATCAAACATTAAGAATACCTAGGCTGAACCCAATTAGAATACCTAAGCTGAATCCATAGTCAACTTTGTGATTGTACAAGGTCCTAATAGTCCAGCTTTACAGACTGTGCACACTTACATACAGGTTTCATCAACAAATCTGATGCCCAACAAGTCACTATTAGTCAACTGCTGATTTATCATTTCTGTTTGTGAACTTACAATTCCGTCTATATATGAATGTCAGAAGCAGTAATTAATGAATGCACAATTTTAAGTCAACGCCATGTGTTTAAGATGGTGGTGGGAACCCTATAGCCCTCAAGATGCTCTTGGGACAATCCCACCCACCATCCCTGACCCACCATTAATACTGGCTGGCAAAAACAGGAGTTGAAGTCCAAGAACATCTGGAAGTTCACAGGTTCTCCATTCACTGCTTTTAAGAGAGAATCTATGAAGGGTGTTTCTGGACTGCATCTAAGCCAAATGTTTCCACACTTCTGCTTCCAACAACTTAGCCAACACTTTATTGATTTGTTGCCTGCCCTTCACCCGAAGGTCCCATCATTAAAACACAAGGTTAACAATAACAGAACAACTTGTAACTATAAAAAATAAGGCGGGTCCTAACAGTATATACCCAAAGTGTCCAAAGAGGTGCCTCTTCAGCACGTTCCTTCAGAAGCCAGATACACCTTTGTGGGGATGGAGTTCCACAGCTTAGGGGTTGCCATGGAATGCCCTCTCCTGGACCACCACCCTCCCCCAAGCCTCTGAGGGTAGAGACAATACCAAAAGGGCCCCAATCTGAGCACTTGAGCTAGTCTGATGGGAAGGAGGCATTCGCTCTGATATTTGGGACCTCAAAAGGGCCTCCCAAGACGGGGAAGCTCTGAGGAGAGCCCTGTGCTCTCTCTCTATTCCCCAACAAAACTCACTTGGGAGGTGTTTCCCCCTAAGGATAATGTGGATGCAGCGGTCACACATTCCCAATAATCCCCTTGTTTGGGTATTCCACTGAAGGAATCCAGTGGTTGTGGATCCTGTCCAATGCCCTGCTGGTGGCGAGAGCCATGGCACGACCCCCGGTGACATCAGGGGAAGCTTCCAGGTATATCTGCATCAACAAGCTCCTCCCACTGGTTGTTAACCTTAGGATGACTCCCCGCTGCCCGGGGTGGAGTCATGTATAGATTTGATCCAATGCCTAAGCCAATGCCACTCACATGCTGTAACCAATAAAGTTGTGGCCTTCTTTAGCCCATTAACCTAAATACATGTGTCCCTGTGTCTTATTTATCTCAAAGCGGGTGGCGGGTCCTCGACTCACAATGAAGAGTACTGGGAATGGCAACTGCTGGCTCTTCCTTCCACCAACACGGTCATCATTCGCCGCCTTTCAAATTCTACCGCCCTTCTAATTTTGCTGCCCCTAAAATTCTGCCACCCTAGACGGCTGCCTGATGGTTAAAACTGGGTCTGCTCCCAAACTGGGGCTAGACATGAGTGCCAGTGCCTTCTTGTGACATCCAAACATTTTCTATATAATCAAGGATAGATTCAGAAGTGAGCTATAAAATAAATATGGAATTGTTTCCATAATTTATATCTCAACCTTTGATGCGTAAGCACACTCAGGGTGGCTTGCAAACCTCCAGATACATATATAGCCATTATACCAGCAGTTAATTTGATAATAAAGTGGATTCCTAATGTTTTCATTACGCATGCAACAGACATTATGCTGTATTTGTGATGCTCTGTTACGTTTTATCGTTTATTTATTGTTTGTAAGCTGCTTTGAGATTCGTTTGAATCAAAAGTGCCATAGAAATACGATCAATCAGATCAAACATTGTGACAAGCTCACTTTAAACTTAACTTCTGTGCTCTAACGAAAAGTAGCATATCCCAGGGCGGAAGGTCCTCCTAACTAAGGCAAAGTTTCCTTGAAAAATGTCCCTAAGTAATTGTTGGCAGACCAAGGACTTCTAACATCCAACTTGAAAGGGAACACTTCACCTAGCTCCTTATCCAACAATACTATGTCAGAATTATTTAGCCAAGCGAATTATGATTGATGGATACAGAATGACATATGCCCATAGGCCAATCTTCAAGTCATCATTTCAACATCCAGCTTCAATTGGAAATGCATTTATTAATGGCAGCGTTTGATAAACAAGTTTAGAATACTGTTTCTGTAAGAGAAAGTAAGGTTCATTCCAACACTCTAATTCTACGATTCCGTGTGTAAGAGAGAGGGTGGGAGAGAACTAGAGGAGGGCAGGGACCTTGAGAACTGTTCCCCATGAACATTTATTATTATAATATATTTATTTGTAGCATCAGTATAGCACACTGAGCAGGGGCACACCACCTGGCCACAGTTTTCTTCACTATGATCAGAGTGTGGTATTCCTATTTAAATTATAGCAGTTATTTCTAATTCTGAATCTATAAATATGAGTTAGTATACACAAAGCAATGTTTTCCTTGTTCTTCTCTTTTGACGATGGATTTCCCTGAGTTGTGGGTGGGGAGGGAGTATGCAGGACTATTTATTGTTGTTTTGGGAATGATAGTAAGCTGCTTCAGAGGTAATGTGTGCATGGGGAAAGGTAGTCTGTTCTCATGTCAGCACAAATTTGGAAGATAAACAGGCAAAGACTCCTAAAAGTTTTTAATGACTTCACACACTTGCCATACCTTGGGATTCACCTTGAAGGGTTAGAATGTAAATCTCCTCGAATAATAATGTTGAAAGAACAGTTTGTGTAGGAAGGATGTAACAAGTACAGCCATCCTGTGTGTGTTCTTGCATAACTATTACACACATCTGTGTGTTTTAATGTCAATTACTGTGCTTTCAGAATCAGTTTTACACGTCTTGGAGATGGAAAAGGAATAAAATTATAAGTGTGCTAGAAAAGAGTCATAAAGCCTGTAGGCTGTGGGAAGCAGCTAATTGGGTTATTAAATAGTGACTTAGCCACAGGCTGTCACACTATATACAAAACGAAAAATAACATTAAAAATACAGAATATAATTTTAAATTACAATGACAGGCATCAATTGAGAATAGCAGCATTTAAATATGAAATGTCAAACTTTTAAAAAATTAATTCCACAGACTATTAAAGCCACCACATTTTACAGCCTTGGTAGGTTTATAAAAATTGTCACGGTCAGATTAATTGAAACTTCTATTATAGCTCATTATGAATCAATCATCCTTTCAATCCAGGCCAGTGGTTGCCAAATGTTTTTCCTCCAATAGATCACTTGAAAATTGCTGAGGCTCTTGACGCACAACTTAAATTATCGTTCTTTTTTTATCTGGTTGTAGCAATTGTAACGTGCTGTGCTGTGCCGTGTGGTTTTTCAAATTGTATTTTCACTGTTTCTTAAATCTGGCCCTACTCATCATAGTCGTGGACATGCCTTAGATTTGGTGTTTACCTCTGCAGACATGGGTGACCTGAGACAAAGTTCCAGTAGAACAAAAGAAG